CTTGTAAACAGTGCTTGATCTGTGCAGATTTCTCTCCTGATTCAGACAAGACAACGTTTTCACTGGAGAAAGCAATGTTATGGGTAGAGGACTCGGTTTAAAGCTAAATACATCTTAATGATGGATTTGTTTCTTACAAACATGCAGCTTTCGCATCCAAACACGTCCTCCACCTTCACGTAGCGACACCCAGGGTCCAAAATTCACATTCAGCAAATGCAACTGTAGTGAGTAATTGGTCAGTTAATCGCTATTTTTAAGGCTTATGTCTTGTATTTTTTGCCAAGTGTGGTAAAAGCTGAATTTTGGATTAGCTTGAGAGCTTTGGTTGTGTAATGAGCCACGGTTGAAGAAACAGTCCATCTTTTTGGTTGTCATGGGCGCTGGCATGGTGGTCATTGCCATGGAAACAGCAACTGGCACGGGATGGGTTGCTTCAGCTGATAAAGGTATAGTTGATTTACCTCTTTTTGTGAAAAAATTATGATTCTCTAATCTAAAAGACAGCTGAAACTACAAGTAGCAAAATGACACTTGACCATCGTCTTAATAAATCATTTACCATGGTAACCATGGCAATCCTGCAAGAATGTAGTTATTATAATTTCTGTTACTACTGTAAAATCACCTTTAATTAATATGGAAAGTTTTCTTTTTTTTCCTTCTGTCATTTTCTGTTATTTTTTCCTCTTACTATATTAAATACAACACTTTTTAAATTAGAAATTAAATTTAAAAAACAAATTTAAATTAAAATATCACATTTAATTATTTAATAAAATATAATAAATATAATAATTAAGCTATGATAATGATAAAAAAAACTATATATACAGATACTTACGCACACAAATTTAAAACAAGTTGATGCTGAGTTATGAAAGCTAAGTCTCAGAGTAATGATTTTTATTAATATTGTAAATGAACTTTTATTTTATTTTTTTTATTTTTTTTATTTTTAAGTTATAGTAGTTTTGTTATGTGCTTGTAATTTTTATTATTTGTTATTATTATATTTTAGTGTTTGTTATTTCAAATGTTTACATTTTTACATTAATCTTTAATTCATTTTTATTTCAATTTTAGTAATTTAGGACATTAATTGAAACGTATTTTATTTCAGTTAAGTTGTTAAATTGCTTATTTTATTTTGGTTAGTTGCCAAGGCAACATTTCTAATTTTCATTTATGTTTTTTAAGTTTATGTTTTCATAGAATATTTCTGTTTTTATTTCAATTAACAAAAATTATTTTTATTGGTTCTAGTTAACAATAACAACACCAAGTTACAAAAGTTATATTGTTGTAACAATAACTCCCATAACTATGGTGATCTGGTGATTTGGAACTATGGTTACCATGGTGAATTTCTGTAGGTCTGTGTCTGAGATCGACCCACCAGCTGTACTGTACTGTTGTTTTCTGGGAAATCCCTTCTTAGATGTGGGCTGATATTGTGTGCTTGCGTGTGTGTTTTGTGCATGTGATGTTGTAGGCGTGTCTTGAGAGTGAATCTCAAATCTTTCTTATTCTGTTTGAAGCCTCAAGGAATCACGTCATCTTTCCTACTTCTCTCTGTATCTGACTCTATCTTTCTTCCTACTGCTCTCTGATGTTGAGCTGAATTGCGGCTATTTCAGCGGTTTGACGATGATGAAAGCCACAGGACAGGCGGCCCATGAAAAATGAAGAAGACATAACGAGGGATGGAGCACAGAGACATTGAAGAAAGAGAGAGCGAGGGATGACTGACATATCAGAGAGGATCAAAGACCTGTCCTCTCGTTTGTTGAAGGTTCGGTACTTACTGGAACCAGAAGAAGAACCAGCCAATGCCTGAGAACCTGAAAGAGAGAGAGACAAAGTGTGTGTCAATAGCTTTGCTTTCTACATAGACAGCTGCCTTCTAAGGGAGCATCATAACTGAAATGGAACATCATGACTGATATGGAACATTCTATTTCAGAGACATTACTAGACATAAATAACATCCAAGCTTAACATATTAATGTCATATCATAGTGCAAAAAGACATTTTTAGGTTGGCTATTACAGTTTTTTGTTGTTGTTTTTTTTTACAATCACTAGGACACATTTCTTAATACTTAGGTCACTTTTTCAAAACACTTCACATAGTTCTTCCTAACATCTTTCAGCTTGGCACAGCAGTACATTTCATATCCAAAATGCCCAAAAAATAAGAATGAACAATTTTATGAAAATTGTTGACTTTAATAAGCATATATGAAATAAATTACGTAAATAAACAAACAGTGATTTTTCACTGCGCTTGTTGCAATGCACTCAGATATTCTGGCCTTTTTGCCCAGAAAATTTGGCCAAAAGAAAGGCAGCATAATTAAGAAATAGTGCTGTACAAATTAAATGGATTATTTAATAAACACTGCAGCATTATATGAAAAATAAGAATTGTCAGATTTAATGAGAATATATGAAATAAATATATGGATATATTAAATAAATTGAAATGTATGCATGTATGAAATATTGAAATATTTTAAATATTATACACTAAATCATTAAATATTAAAATATGAAATATTTCAAATCATAAAGATAATCAAAGAGCAATTTTAATCAAGATTTTTCACTGCGCTCGTTGTAATGCATTCTGGTATTCTGGCCTTTTTCGCCAAAAGGATTTGGTCAAATGAAGGCAGTAAAATTAAGAAACTGTGAAATAACAAACACTGAGATTTATAATAAACACTGCAATATTCCATGAATTGTAATTTCATGTTGACTTTAATAAGCATATATTAAATAAATATATGCATATATTATAAAGAAAATAATCTTGCTGTGCTAGCTGAAATGTATTCAGGTATTCTGGTATTTTGGCCAAACGAAAGCAGCATAATTAGTCTTTAAATGCTGTCTAGGTAGGCAGCCCACTAGGTTTTGGAACAGATCTAGTGTTTCCTGTTCAGACAGTGATTAGTGCAGATTTGGGCCGTTTTCTCCACAGAGGTGTGTGTGTTTCTCGAGGAGCGCTGTGAATCTGTTTGGGAACATTTTGTGGGCAGTATGGCGGTGTGCGTCTGCACTCCTCTCCTCTCTGTTCTCTGGGAATTGGGCCGTATTGATCTTACTGTGAGCTGACAGGTCTGGGAAGTCTAAAAGGCTCTGCAGCGCTCGGGTGTGTAAGTGAAGTGAGTTGAGATCTGCAGTCTGCTAGATTCATCCGTGTGTGTGTGTGTGCTGCCCTAGATTATTATTTTATCATGAGTGCTGCTGGTAAAATGGAGGGATGTTGTCTTCCAAAGGATCTCCCTTTGGATACTGTACAGAAGGGAGGAAAAATTTTCATCTCTTTGTCCTCATCTGCATTTTTCCCCCTTTGTCTTGCTTTTGTTTTATCTCTCATTTCAGATCACAAGCGAGTCTCTCCTGATCGTTTTGTCCACATTTTCAGGGATAAATCCTGATCTAGGCTGGTGGATAAAGGTCCGTCTGCTTTCTCTGTGTGTGTCGGAGTGTAAAGATCTCTGAAGCTCAGAGGAATTCCGGTCCAGGAATTCTGAACCCAGAAAATAATGAGGAGATTTCAGTGTGACGGGCTTAGATGTGAGAGTCCTGTGATTTTAGAGATAATTAATTCCGTTTCATTGTGGAGTAGAATATTATGAAATGGATTCATCTGATTCGTGAGGATCTGATCTTTGCACACTTGAGACTCGGTGCAATTGATTTTATAATGCAGTTACATTCATACCATTTTATACCTACAGTTAGTGATTTTCTCTGCTTCTATGTGTGTGTTTAGGTGCATTTATATTGCTTTTGGCGTAGTGAAGTAAGATCTCCCTGTGTATGCTACTCACATGTGTTGGGGGATCCGTTGGGTGTTGGTATATAGGATCCTGATTTCCAGGTCTTGGCTTTGAATCCTTTTTTGCAGCGCTGACAGTCCTGTCCGGTCGTGTTGTGTTCACATTGACACTGTAAGTTGCCGTCCACATACAAACACAGAGATGCGTGGAGATTACATCTACACCTGAAAGACAGAACGATGGGCAGACATTAGACTTTTAGCAGTACTGTAATACAGATCTGCCAAAACAGTGAATCTGAATGATTTGATGTGCTTTTGAAAGTGAATTTGAACTTGAATTTGAATATTAATATTAATATCAGTGTTATTTTAGTGTCATTTAGTATTGATTAATATGTAGAATTTGCATTTATTTTGATATTTTCAGTTTAATTTTAGTTTTGTTTAATTTTTTTGTAATTTTGTTATGTGCTTTTGTCACAATTTTTTTTTCCAAATTTAGAAATGTTAGTACTCCAACTTATTTTATTTCAGTTAGTTGCCAAGGCAACATTTCTCATTTTTGTTTTAATTAATTTTTTTTAAGTTTTAGTAATTTTGTTATGTGTATTTTTTTAGATTTCTTAGATTTTAATAAATTTTTATTTCAAATTTAGTAATTTTTGTACTTCAATTGTAATCTTATTTTATTAATAATCTTGTTTTATTCAACTTTATTTCAATTACGTAAATGTTTTATATTGTAGTTTTAGTTTTATTTAATAATAAAACACTGGTCAATGTTAAAATTAAATTAAATGTGAACATAAATGCTATTTTTTATATTAATGTGCATGGGAATTTAAATGTGAATTTGAATGTGCATGGGAATTTGATTCTAAATTACTTATTTTCCAAAAGTTTTGAATGATTTAATGTGAAAAGTCATTAAGAAATGAATGAATACGGTATGAAGACCAGCAGAAGCATTTCAAACCTCCTGTATAAGCTGCACTCAAGCAGGGCCGATATTTTCAGAGATATAAATTATAGGTATGTGTGTGTGTTGGCAGGTGGAAATGCATCAATGAACGCAGGTGTGCTGCTGTAGATTGGGCCCAGTAAAGCAGAAATGAGCGTTTGTGTAAAACCAAATGGCCCTGATTCTAAATGAGACTTTTCCACATGAGCAGCACAGTGTGTGTGTGTTACTGTCGAGCTTCAATCCAGTTTGTTCCGCTGGAGTGAACATGGATCCATCAGCATCAAATATTCACAACATCGTCCTGTACCTTGAGCCAACCCTCATCTATCTCTCTCACACACTCTTTTTTTCTCGCTTTTTCTTTTCCACTGCCTGTGAACATTTCCCCCCTCTTTCTCCTTCCCTCCATCTCCTTTAACCTCGTTCTCTGACACCATCGCTCTTCCAAGATGTGGTTTAGTGTGTACTAAAGTGGTCCAGCTTGAGCTGTCTGGCAGTCTGGAGTGTGATGTGGTGTATGATTTATCATTTACTGTATACCTTGTGTGTCAATGTGCATTATAATAAATCTCCCATTTAAAAGTTCCAATTTACAGTCTAATGCAAGGGTAGGCAATGTCGGTCCTGGAGTGCCGATGTCCTGCAGAGTTTAGCTCCACCCCTCACCTGCCTGCAGCCTTAGTAATCCTGAAGACATTGATTAGCTTGTTCAGGTGTGTTTGATTAGGGTTGGAGCTGAACTCTGCAGGACAGTGGCCCTCCAGGGCCGACGTTGCCTATCCCTGGTCTAATGCAATACATTTGAACCTTTTAAAAACCTTTTTTGTTCTCTAGTTGTTTAGAAAAACATCAATGATCTATAGAAATGTATTTCTTCCAGCAAATAAAAAATTTTAAAAGGTAATTGCAGCTTTTTTCTCGCAATTACGAAGCTGTTAACTCGTTAATCAAACTTGTAATTGTGAGAAAAAAATCTCAACCACAGAATAAAAAATTAATAAATACAAAAGGTTTTTAAAAATGCGCATGCGAATTCTGACTTCTGAGTTTATAAGTAGAAATGATAAATGTAATTCTGAAAAAATATTCTGAATTGCCAAAATAAAACTCATTATGGAAACTTATTTTTGCAACGGAATAAAAAAATAAAAAACGGTAATTGTGACTTTTTAGCTCACAATTACTGTGAACTGCAGCGAGTTGTTTTCTCACAATTATAAATTTTTATCTCCAAATTTGGACTTTTTTCCTCGCAGTTGTCAAAATTGGGAGATATAAAGTCAGAATTGGGAGATATAAACTCTGACTTTTTTCTTGCAATTCCAAGTTTATATCTCACAATTCTGAAAGTTTATAACTTGCAACTGTGAGATTTAAACTCACAATTCTGAGAAAAGTTAGAATTACAAGATAATACCTCACAGTTCTGAGAAGAAAAGGCTTATTGTGAGGTAATTCTGACTTTTTTTTCTCACAGTTTCTTCTCAGTTTATATCTAATATTTCTGACTGTTCTTCTCAGTTTTATATCGCGCAATTCTGAGTTGAATTCTGAATCTCCCAATTGTGAGAACAATGAGAAGGTCCAAATTGTCAGAATCACTCAGAATTGTGAGAAAATAAGTCAGAATTGTTCCATTGGGAAAATATGCTTCTTTAATGTTGCTTCCATGATGAGTTTAAATCTCGGTTTAAAATTCAGAATTGCAAGGGGAAAAAGTCAGAATTATGAGCAAAAAAATTATTTTATTTTTATTTTTAAAATAAGCTTCCATAATGATCTGGTGCTTTAAATAACTCCAAAAGAACACCAAAACACTGATAAATGAATGAATGTGCATATGATATGTAAATGTAGTAGGTCATATGGTAATGTGACTGTGATGTCATTATGATTTCCGAGTAATTTTTGCAGCTTAGGTTTAACAAATCTTAATGTTAGAGTCAAGCACTTATTTCAGAAGAGCAAGAGCAATCGTGTTGTCCATGATATAACCTCTTAAAGTGACTAGAGAGTCAGTCTGAGCTAACTAGGAGTTTCCCTAGGTGTCTTCTTTTTGGGATTTTCTGTGTGGTGGGTGTGGGTCAAATGTGAGTTCCCCTGAGCAGAGGTCCTGCTGGGATAAGGGTGCTTCTGTAGTGTCCTGTGAGCAGCTGGGACAGCAGAATTATTCCCACCATCTGCTGCCCCGCACCTCTCACGTATGTCTACAAATGCTGCGCTCACATTCTCCGATTATTTTCATATCAGCTCAGAATGTAAAACACACTCCAGTGCTCTCTTAACGCTGTAAAGCATTACTATTGCATCATATTTGATATCATTTAGAGCAGGGATCCTCAAATCTGGCCCACGAGATCCACTTTCCTGCAGAGTTTAGCTCTAACTCTAATCAAACACACCTGAGCATGCTAATCAGTGTCTTCAGGATCATTAGAAAATCACAGGTAGGTGAGTTTGATCAGGGTTGGAGCTAAACTCTGCAGCGCAGTGGCCCTCCAGGGCAAGATTTGAGGAACCCTGATATAGAGCAACGACTGATATGTACAGTATATCATTTTATGTAAGCTATACTGTTATAAAGATCTCATTTATTTACATTAGAAAAATCAGAATTTCATCTTACTTATTGGCCATATTAAAATCAGCAACTGCACCAAATTGTTTTCTCAGTTTTGGTCTCTGAATAAAATGATTAATCTCTGTATTCTCACTATATACAAAGATTTGTTTATATGTCAAAGTCAACATGACATCAGAATTGACCCTTTTTATAGCTATTGACTATAAGCTATAGTCATTGTTTTAGGCTACTTTTGTTGTGAATTAGCCTTTCTACAGTCACTAGTTAATGCAGTAATTTAATATACTCTCAGAAAAAAAGGTACAAAAGTTGTCACCGGGGCTGTACTTTTTCAAAAGGCACACCTTTGTATCTAAAGAGTCCATATTGGTACCTTAAAGGTACATATTATTATCTAAAGTGTACATATTAGTACCTAAAATTTACAAAAGTGTACCTTTTGAAAAGGTACCGCCCCAGTGACAGCTTTTGTACCTTTTTTTCTGAGAGTGTACAGGTTACTTCAATAACACAAATATAAATGGATATGTTTCCACTGGGATACAGTATGTACAGGTGCTCTGGAGGATGAACTTGACTTTCAGTCTTTATATCCTGCTCACCTTCCTGGTTTCGGCTCCTGTGAATTTCCATTGCTTTTCCATGTTTTTTGTTCTTTGTGGTTACTGGATAAGGATTTGTAAAAGTCATTTTAGACTGCACTCACAAATAGCAATTTCTAGCTGACTGAATATTTTATGACAGAGTGTAACTGGATCATTTTAAATTCACTACAGGAATCCCCATGCCTTTTAAATATTTGATTAATTTTCATGATTTCTTTTTCAGGCCTGGAAATCACAATGTTAAAATTCCTTGCCATTTTCATGTTTTCCATGACCATGGGAATCCTGTTAAATAATTATGGCCTGATTCCTAGAACAACGTTTTCTTCCTCCCTACAGTCGACTGCATTCAGATCTGACTCTATTCTGGTATGTAATGTTCACTTTTCACAATGCATGCAATTCCTGATGGATAAATTTAAGCCCATGTTACATTTCTCCTCATTAATATAATTATATAATAATAATTGTGATGCTGATTTCAAAAATAAAGGTTCTTAGTTTTCTTAGGTTACTAAAAGATACATTATTCTTTTTACATTTTATTTTTTATTTTTTGGCTGATTAGGGTCCTTGAGTTGCTATATGGTTCATCAGATAATAAATTCATGATGTTTCATTATAGGTTCTGTTTTTGGTTTGGATTCTGGGTTCTTTGATGGTTTTCTAAAGAACTAGAGAATCAAAAGTTCTTTGTAGAATTTAAAAAGGTTCTGATATGACATCACACTATAACAGCCTTTTAGAATCTAATTGGAATCAGAATCGTAACTGGAACTGTCGCTGTCGTTCTGACGGTCTTTCTCTCAGTCTCTCTGCGAGTTATGGATTATGTGAGCCGTTTTACGATGAGCAAATCAAACAAACAAAACAAACAGACTCCGCAGACGCCAGGAACGCTCTCATTCTCTGATTTTCTCTGTCTGGTTTCTGTCTCTCCTTTTTCCTCCTCTGTTCATTAGATGATAGAGAGCTGTTTCTCACTCACACACATTTCCTGCAACTTATTCCGAGCGATTAATTCCCTCTGAGAGCAGAGAGAGATGGAGGTATATATAGAGCAGTTAGA